CAGGATGCTGAGAAGGCTAAAAGCTTGTAAAGCTTCAAAGTGGGTTTGTACAAATTCATGGAGGGGAAAAAAACCCACCCCAAATTATAATACACATCTGCCCTGGTCTTGTGCTCCTCCTACTGCCTCCACTCCTGGCTGCTTACAGAGACACGATGCTGGGCAAGATGGATGTTGTGCTGCCTTGGTAAGGCTGTTTTCACATCAACTCCTTCAGAGGAAGATTTTGTTCTTCCTCAGTTTGTGGCTGTTTTAGCATTTCCTGGGGATGAGGCTGTAAAGTCGGCTTTAAGCTGGTCCTTGAAGGACTTTGCTTGGCCTGAGGAGGCATCTGAGGTCATGAAATGGAGCTGAGCTGCTGCGCTACAGATGAACGGATTATTTCTCACTCCTGCATTAGGAGCTCTGTGGATTCATTCATTTCTCCACTATTATGCTGCTGTTATCCACCCTCCATCCCTGTCTCCATCCCTCCCTCCACCCATCTGCCCAGGAGCTCCTGGGGACATCTCAGGACTGTGCTCCTCCAAGACCTCCTTGGCGCTGAGAGCCGGCATGCTCCAATGGGCAGGGATGGAGGGCCCTGCTCTCGGGACACGGACCCTCCCAGCACAGGGCTGAGCACGGGTGGGTGAGACAAAGCACAGAAAAACACCCAAGTGAGGCTGTCTCCAGAAACCACTCAAGAAACTGGTAGCAGAGGTGTGCATTGAACGTTTAGAGGTATAATCTCCTGTGAAATATTTGGTCTCTCTCTCTCATTATTCCCCTGTTCCCCTTCGCTCTCCCCCACTAATGCTTTCAGTGGGGATGCCTAGCTGTATCACACCGCTTCTGCAGCCTCGCAGGATAAAGCACTGCCTTGCCCGTGAGGGAGGACTCCCGTTAAATCTGCGATGCTCTTTTCCCTCAGAGTTAATATCCAGAAGACTCCTATGGGACTTGTAGGCTCTTCAGCCCTTAATGACCCTGCATTACCTGGCCTTGTCACCCAGTGAGTGGGCTGGAAGGTCCTTGGAAAGGAAGAGAGTGGATGAAGGAAGGAAGGAGAGGGGCACAAGAAAAGGATGCTGACCATGACAGGTGCAGATGCGCTGTCCCCAGAAAGGCTCCCCAAGGGCTTTCCCCCCACCGTCAGGGCTCGCAAACAGGGACGAGACTTTCCTACACCGTATTAGCCAGCGCTGCCTCTCGCAGCTCTCGCGGACCCAGGAAAGCCTCTGCTCAGGCAGAGCTCACTCACAAAACCCTGGCAGAAGAGGAGAGCAGCCTCCCCAAGCCGGCTGGAGACGCCGGTCCTGTGCCTTGTCCCGCCATCAGCGACTCGAGAGGTGGCTGCCGAGGTGGGTGCCGCAGTTCTGGCTCTCACCGCAGCCTTCGCGCTGTTCCCGCATCCCAGGCATTAGTCACGGTGATGCTATTAATTAGCCTCAGCGATCCCCAAGAACGGGGGCAGCCCTAATTACAGCCCTCGCCTGTTAACTTTGTTTGGGCTGGTGTCTCTGCTTTTAATGCAGAAACAAAAGGGAGCAGTCTGGGACAAGCGGTGCTATTAAGAAGGAAGGGGCAGGGGAGGGAGAGAGAATCCTGCCCGCTCCAGGAGTTGGGATGCTCTCTGCAAACCAATTCCCCCCCTGCCCAAGTCACCGGCTTTGCCAGAAACCGCTGGCAAAAGCTGCTGCTCCCAGGTTTGGCTTTGCCTGGGTGATAAAGGGCTAATTGGATGCAGATTAAAAGTCACCGTTACGGATAATCCGTCAGTGGGCCGTGGAAGCGCGGGAAGCATCCCCCCCGTTGTCTCTGGGCAGGGCGGTGGTGGATGTGTGCGGGCTCCGGCCCTTTGTGTTTCACAAAAAGAAAAAAAAAAAAGAAAAAAGATACTTTGAAACGCAAGATGAGCTGGGGGAAGGGAGATGGGATGGGGGGGCTGGGAAGAAATAATTGCCATGTCTAAAAACAGTTACTATGGCAGCAACAGTCTTGCTGCTGGAGCGAAATGTTGGGGGCCGGCGAGGCGAGGCGC